TCTAGCTTTGGCCAATTGGATATAAGTCATCAGTGTTGTAGTCCGCTCATTGTGTCCAGCTTCGTAAAAGTTTGTATAATGGTCAGTAACCTCCCACCTTCCTGATGTATGTCGGCTTGTCCCATTTGTGCCCCCTCTTCTCCCTGCTGGTGTATGTTGGTTTATACCCCTTCCTCAATGCTGTCATTCTCCCCCCCCCGCGCTGATGTATGATGGTTTATCCCACGTCATTGTCCCCCCTGCGCTGATGTATCCCAAGTCATCCACACTGTCCCTGCTCCACCATTGTCCCACAAACAACCCCACTTCACTGGTGTATGTCAACTTAGATTCCTCTTTAGTCATCTCTTAAAAACGAAATAAGATGTGCGTCGTTGCTTAGGGGAACCGCTCTTCATCCCTCGCTGTGACCCCTCAGTACGGGGGAGTTGGTGTCGGCTCTTCATCCCTCGCTGTGACAGTCCAGTACGAGGATTTGGTGTCAGCTCTTCATCCCTCGCTGTGACGGTCCAGTACGGGGAGTTGTCAGCTCTTCATCCCTCGCTGTGACGGTCCAGTACGGGGAGTTGTCAGCTCTTCATCCCTCGCTGTGACCCCTCAGTACGGGGGAGTTGGTGTCAGCTCTTCATCCCTCGTTGTGACGGTCCAGTACGGGGAGTTGGTGTCAGCTCTTCATCCCTCGCTGTGACAGTCCAGTACGAGGAGTTGGTGTCAGCTCTTCATCCCTCGCTGTGACGGTCCAGTACGGGGAGTTGGTGTCAGCTCTTCATCCCTCGCTGTGACGGTCCAGTACGGGGAGTTGGTGTCAGCTCTTCATCCCTCGCTGTGACGGTCCAGTACAGGGGAGTTGGTGTCAGCTCTTCATCCCTCGCTGTGACGGTCCAGTACGGGGAGTTGGTGTCAGCTCTTCATCCCTCGCTGTGATGGTCCAGTACAGGGAGTTGTGAGCTCTTTATCCCTCGCTGTGACGGTCCAGTACAGGGATTTGTGTCGGCTCTTCATCCCTCGCTGTGACGGTCCAGTACGGGGGGGAGGAGTCGCAGCTAATTTTCACTTTGGAATTGAACACTGCGGCTTCCTCTTGTAGGTCATCAGACCGTCTGACTGAGAACGCCATGTCTGACTTAGAATGAACAGCAAAAAGTTTTCCTGGCACACTCACCAGCCAGAATGCAAAAAAAACTGTCTCACCACTAAGGTTAAAAGAGGTTTAGATACACGTCTTCTGCAGAAAATGTGAAAGCCACACGGCAGCGCCAAGGCACCTCTTATAGTGCTGTCCTAGCTCTAAACTATGAGAGTCTTCATCTTGGAGCACATGGGGCAGAAGATAAAATTGGGTGCAGGTTTGTCAGGAGGAAGCCCGACCCCCCCCTTAAAGGCACAGGGACGCACAAGGGACCCCGCACATCCCAACGGCAGCTGAGACCCCCCCCACATGCGTCACTGCACCAAATCAGTCAAGCAAAACAAATGGCAAACGCACTCATCAATTCATCACCAGCTTTACAGCAAGGTGCACATGGAAGGGCATAATACAATACAACAGCAAAAAGTTTTGTGGCACACTCACCAGCCAGCATGCAAAAATAAACCTGCACCCAATTTAATCCTCTGCCCCATGTGCTCCAAGATGGAGCACATGGGGCAGAGGATTAAATAGATAGTTAGGACCGCACTATAATAGGTGCCTTGGCGCGGCTGTGCTGCTTTCACATTTTCTGCAGAAGACGTGTATCCAAACCTCTGTTATTATCCTTAGCGGTAGACAAGTTTTTTTGCATGCTGGCTGGTGAGTGTGCTGGGAAACTTTTTGCTGTTGTTCTGTATGAGGCCCTTCCATGTGCACCTTGCTGTAATGCTGGTGACGAACTGATGAGTGCGTCTGCCATTTGTTTTGCTTGACTTAGAATGAAGTCTGATTCTGGGGGTCGGGGCCACAACCTGCTTTGCCTCCATTTGTTCCCCACGTTATCTGCTAAGTAACAAGACACTGCTCTGTGGTGCAAGAGATGTTAGAGATTGCCGTGATGTTATCAGAGACTGATGGAAACTAGTAGCATGATCTAGGTGACTGTGAGACATTCAGGATATTTTACTGGGGACTGGGAGGGGCTATCTATAGACTGCTGCCATGTTATGAGAGAATGTAAGAAGCTGCTGCCATATTAGTGGGGACTGTAAGAGACTGCCATATTAGTGGGGACTGTAAGAGACTGCCATATTAGTGGGGACTGTAAGAGACTGCCATATTAGTGGGGACTGTAAGAGACTGCCATATTACTGGGGACTGGCAGGGCCCCCAGCGGTGCTCGGTGAGAGGACCTGCAGTGTGATCTTATTCTGCTCCTTGCTTCCCATCACGAGCAGTCTGTCCTCCGGATTCTCTGATCACTGTGGAGCACACGGCCTCCTTCCAGCCTCAGTGACATCCTAAGATCTGCATCCGGGACCCTAAAACTTGGTCTATGGGGCGGTATTGGCTTGCATAGGTACCTGTATCTGTCTTTATATCATCCCAGCACTGAGAGAGGGAGGGGCCGCCCTAGCAGCCAATCGGGTTCAGTTGCTTTGCACACAGCTGTTGGTCTGTTTGTGAACATACTGACAGTAGGAGACAGCAGAGAGCTGACCCACCACTGTGCTACTGCTTCTTCCTCATAGTCTAGTCACAGGCTGGGGCGGACCCTGGACCAGGCTGTGCTATAGGTAGTCAGCAGGGTGGCCCGGGGGCCTGGCTGTGCTATGTGACACGGGGTGTCTGGATCACAAGGCTGCCTGACCAGAATTAAATGGTCTTTAGCACTGATAGAAATGTAAATCTCTATGTAGCTGTTGGGCCGGAGTTGTGCTTTACACGTTACACCGTTCGGATCGCTCTCTCTCTCTCTCTCTCTCTCTCTCTCTCCTCCTCTCACTTCCGCTCTCTTTAAATAACTCCTGATTATCCGCTAGAGCTTTTTCTTCACAGTTCTTGATTGTTGTGTTCATTTCATACGGTGCCGCCATGGCAACCAATTCACCGCGGAGTGCCAAAGTTTACACGTCTCTCTCTCCGGTAAGAGGAGAGCCGAGCTGGCAGTGTGTCGGCATTCCTCCGCCGGGTCCCAGCTCCCCGATATCTCATCAACAGATCTTTAAGGTGACCTCACGGGAGCTCGCCTGGGATTGCGCCCGCATGCCGCTGGTGACATTATATTTAAATCTGTCGCCTTCCCCTCTTTACCAAATGACGAGAGAGCCACCAACCTCCGATAACGGGCTGCGGCCACATGGACAATGGTCACGTCTGGAAGTAGTACCACTCTGTGATTCGCGGCCTGTGGTGCCGTCTGATTGGTCCCCCAAACACGTGGCCTGTCCACACATGTGCCCCATGAGTTCTAATACTGGTACAGATGCCAACTTATTGCTCCAGTGTTGGTGGGACGCTTAAATGAAGAACGTGATTGGCTGTTCAGGAAGACGCTTTCTGCTCCACCGTTGTGAACGTAAACCTTCAGACTCAACAGAATCAAAATGTCGCCATCGCTGTGAGATCCTCGTACTCCCTCACAGCCGGTCATAAGGAGAAGAGCAAAACATAATGGAGCCGGTGCCACCCCAGTGGAGCCGGTGCCACCCCAGTGGAGCCGGTGCCACCCCAGTGGAGCCGGTGCCACCCCAGTGGAGCCGGTGCCACCTCAATGGAACTGGTTCCACCGCAGTGGAGCCAATGCCACCACACTGGAGCCGGTTCCACCACAATGCAGCCAGTGTCACCGCAGTCGGCCCCACCGTAATGGAGCTGCTCCCATGTTCCTTAGCTCTCAGAAGTCTACCTCGGACCACCCAGTCCAAGTACATGCAAAGAAATCCAAAGAGAAGGCTGACGAGCCTCACTTCAGTACTAACAGATGCACGGTGTAGACTGGTATTAAGATGAGGCGCCTCGATGCTTTTCACACACAAAGTTCTTGGACCACCGGGACCTTCCAGATGACTACATTGTGTGGGAAACGTGTCGAGCCTCCTTATCTCGACACCCATCTACACTGTGCATCTGTTTGCACTAATAAAGTGAGCAACATGGGCCTTAATCTTTAAATAACGGAAAAGAGTTCAGAGGAAGCTTTATAGACCCGGAGGTTCTGATCTTGTCATGTGACGGAGCTGGAGGCACGTGGGACTGATATCCTGATGATGACAGAGGTGACCACTGTGTACACAAATCCAGATATCGATCCCACGGTGATGATTAGGAGAACAGATCTGTGGTGATTGGTCGGTTTATTGGCCCCTTCCTGTTCATCCTCATGGTTCTTTTTAGTTTCCTGCTGATAAGAAATTAAAGGAGAAGACCCCCTATGATAAAGTTCTTTAGGGCGAAATGCGTCAGTGGAGCCTGTTTCCATTGCGATGGAACGCTAGAGCTTCATTGACAGACAACGTTGGTGAGGCCCTTCCTTTCCAGCTATGGTGCACTACTAGGAGAAGAGCGCTCCCTATTGGGCCTAAGCACCCACGGCTGGTATGGCTGCAGGTAGAGCCTTGTCTAGTCATGGAAACGCTCCCCCCTAATAAAACCATGTGACCGTTTCCGGGACGTTAATTGCGGTTGTTGAGCACTTTGTTGCTAACTGCAACAACTGCCCTATTCACATGCTGGGATTTGGGTTTTGGAACTCTGAGTGAGACAACGCAAAGCAGCCAATCAGCATTCACTAGGCTTTGGTTGCTATGAGTTACCGCACGGTGCTGATTGAGCTCTCAGGTGATGTGAAGACGGAAGTTGTCTTCTCTGTGAGGGATCCTTTCATTGCTGGCTCTCCAGACCCCCGGTGATGGTGTTACGCCTGGCTAGGTGTTGGTACCCCGGGATGGGTGGCAGCCTTTGTCCCCGTCCGCCGGATCTCGGTGTTAACAAGCTGACGGCTGGGACACAAAGTGTGTTCGGCAGACAGATGATGGTTGTGAGTTCCAGTCACATGCTGAGCTGTTGATGGTGGCACTGAGCATGCTCAGATCGGAGCCTCCTTCCCGGAGATCGGAGCGCTCGCACAGATCCTCCGTCATTCAGCCGAGGCACAGCAGAGCGTGGCAGGTCAGCGCTGACATGTCCCCGTGCCTCGCGCCTCTCTCCCTCCGCCAGGTAGGTGAGCGTCTCCCTCGTGTATACACGCTGCTTGTGTCACCTGTACGATGCAACCTCGGCATGAAGATTAACCCTTTGTGTTTCCCAAGCTCCCAGCGCTCCTGCCGACACGGCTGCCCGCGCTCTCCATCTGTAGATGCACCGAGAGAATTGCGATGAGTTTATCTGTGAATAGCGGCGAGGCCTGCGCAGTGCTGCGAGCGACTCCTGCTCCTCTCTCCTCCCTGCACAGAACAGCACAGTGCACCTCAGCAGCTGATAGATTCTTGTCCATCTCATGGTCCCGGTTCTGACAATCCAGTTCTGTTGTCTGATATGTGGTCTGTTTGTCTGTGGAGACCTATCGCTGCTCTGGCTTTGTTCACAGAGATGGTGGACCATGGGATAGTTCTGGTCCTGGTGATCCAGTACAGAGATGCCATGTAATATGCAAACTGTGTATAGAATTATCTTTTGCTGCTGATTTCCCTGTAATAGATTTCAGGATGGTCCTCGCTCTGATCCATCAGGATGGTCCTCGCTCTGATCCATCAGGATGCTTCTGCACTGAGGTGCTGACTGCCCGGTGAACACGGCTGTTATAATGTCAGTGTGATTGGTGCTGGACGCTCTCTCAGCTGTATTGTTACTCCGACTTTGAGAACTCTGAAGATCTGTCAGTACAGTGCGGTAACCATGACACATGTATGGATAGAACAGTTCAGGTAGAATTGCTGTGATAGCACAGAAGTGTCTGGCTCATCTGTATCCATCTACCTATATCTTTTATATAGAAGCTCCATCCTCCATGGAGGTCCCTGGCCTCCTGCCGGTAGGTTTATTGATGGAGTTGGCTGAGTTGCCGGTAGTTGGGCGAGCGTTCCTCCTACATATCTCTCTCCCATATGGCAGCCCGTTATCACCGAACTCCACTCTAAATGTACAACCTGTTCTATTTATATTCCATTCAGCTCGCTCCGCGGTTCTGTCCTCTCCAGGGAAATCCACATTGTGGCCATCCAGCATGTCCCCAGTGTGAACTTTCTGATCAGGTGTGAAAGGGGTCATTATATGGCAGGCACTGCTGGGTGTAAGAAACATACTGGCAGGAAGTAGGGTGTGCAGAGAAGGAAAGAGTCCTCCACACTGTTAGATTTTGCTCCCCACCTTACATCAGCACAGGGGTCTCTATGGGCACAAAATTGGGGGTATTTTGGTGGACCGGCATCCCTCCCATCTCAGTACAGGGGAAGCTTTGATGTCAAAGGTGGAGTGATAAGATTAGAGCAGATTGGGAGGTGTCAGGAGGACATCAGGGCAGAGAAGACCCTGGAGGGTGAGGACAATCTGGGGCTTTTCAGGTTATTTCACTTCCTGTGATCCGGGTGGTTTATCCTTCTGACACATCACCGGGGACACCCCAAGACTTCTGCCTCGTGTGCACAATTTTTCAGCGTATCCGCAGTGATCCGCCATATTGGTTCAGCGTGCGGTAGTTTGCCGCGTTCTGCAGAGATTGTAGGATGTACAGAGGCCCCATATGTCCTCGGTTGGATCTCCCACACACCCAGCCTGACAGCAGATGCTGTTTATCTCTTCATGCTGGATTTGTGCTTCGGGTACCATTAACCCTCTCGACGCCGAGCCTCGTCCATCACAAGAGATGGCACAGAGGAGCGGAAAGAGTCTCTTGGCTGTGACAGCCAATAACCTTCCTGATCTGTCTGGAAAGAAAAGATCTGATTGGCTCTCTAGGAGGCACCATTATTACCCTTTCCTCCTTTTATAATAATCAACATGGTTCATCCTGGCTGTACGCAGAGCAAATAGGAAGTAACCCAGAGCAACCAATTGCATCTCATCTTCTGTCATAACAATGGGAGGTGATTGGTTGGTGTGGGCGAGCGCAACTTGAGCAAAATTTTAGGCAAGGCACACCAATAAACCAAGATCACGTTACTTCTACTGAAAGTTCACACTCACGATGGAGTTCACTAACTGCAGAATTAAAAATTGCATTATGTGCGATGTCTAGATGGAACAATGACCTCACTGAAGCAGTGTCCTATCGGAGAGGGGCTTTACTGCCTGTTGTAAACCCACATTTTTGGAGACAGACTTTTTCCAAACTAAAACTTGACTTGACCAATAGATTTTTTTGGCCTCCCTACGCTCTTTATTATTCAACAATGTGTTTTGTTGGCTGTGGTCCTGTAGGGAAGGTCTGGTGCTCTTGTCTTGTCAGAGGGCTAACTGCTAACTCTGGTCCATGTATGCCAAAAATAATGGGGACTCTATAAGATTTCCCCCGTCCTGCCTTACCCCCCATAATCCCACCCTTAGCCCTCCTGGTTTATACCCATAATTCCCTGTTCTTTCCCCCCAAGGGCCCTCCTGGCTTCTTCCTACAGTTCTGTCCTCTCCCAGAGTCCTCCTGCCTTATCCCCATAGATCCTCCCCTGAAGCACTCCTCCTTGTTTTTCTACTCTTGGAGCCCTCCTGCGGTATTACCGTAGTTCCTGCTCCAGAAGCACTCCTGCCTTATTATAATCAATTCTGACCCCCCTCCAGGATCCTCCTGTCTTCCCAGTTTGTACTTTAGAAGCTTCCAATTCATGGTGGAGAAGGTTGGTCGGTGCAGTCATTTCACTGCTGGTGATGGAGTATGGGGGGTCCTCCCCTAGTCCCTCCACAGTCATCCTGTCATAGCTGTGTTATTGGTGTAGTGGACCTGCACAGAAGTGAGCTCTACCTGGAACTTCAGCACTAGACCTGCAGTATCCGCCCCTGGTGTGGATATGAATTTGAAACAATTATAAAGCAATTACTGTTCTCTTTCCTCTGAGTGAGCACAGCATGGAGTCTGAACCTGCAACCATCCAATGAATGTGTGGAAATGGCTGGAGAAGTTGTCGTCAGCCTCCATTGCATCACCTATGAGAACCGACTTCTTCTAAGATCAATATGGATTCTTCCAGTACAGAGTGACAGTCGCTGGGACAGTGGCACATGACTATAACCTTGTATACAGACATACAGCCGACAACACTGCGCACCTACCACACATAAATAAATAAAGGTTACATGTGCTGGTGGGAATGATGGTGGAGCTCGGATTGTGTTCAGGTAGAGTCATCGAGTCTTCACAAGCAAACTCAACTTGATTCCATATTCATTATTCCGCCACATCTTCCGCGGTGGCCTGTTGACCTTGGTACGTCTTCCGTTTCTTTTTTTGTGCTCGGCAACTGTGAGAAATAATTTTTCCGGGGCGTTTTAATTAGTTTATTACACTAAACAGGAATATGGCTGCAGGACACCCAGCGGCGGAGTGACGGCTGAAGCTAATTCCAGTGGACTGTGTGGTTTATCCGGTCATGTGTGCAGAGGTGACCTACATACTTCTATTTGCTCTGTAATTGGTAAAGATGATTTATTCATGGTATTCCTCCAGCAAGAAGCCGATCGTCCATGTCTTGTGGAGCGATTGTGCCGCCATGCTGTTTACTGTGACTGGTCCCCCTTTCCCCACATGCCTGTAGAGTACTGCACATCGGCTGTGGGTACCACCATCCTTTTCCTGTGTGCCGGATTTTATACCTGATGCCCTGCTGTAGGGTGGGCGCTAGGCACTGACCGCACCAATGTTCAGGAGTCTGTGCATGCTGGCAGCGGGCGACAACACTTCCCACCTGACTGACTTGAATCCACCTGTTCTTATGCATACAGGAGGAGCAGTGCATGCTGGGAATTACATCCCCAGTATTATCTTTGCTAAAGCAGAATGTTTGCCTTCTCAATAGCCAAATGTGGTGGTTCAGTGGTCAGGAACACCTCATCAATGAATTCAGTTTCATTGTGTCAGCTGTATGGTGACTTAGCGGTCTGGGACACTTTATATGTTCTTTGTATTTTCTTGTGTTTGGTTTTCTTTGCTGGAGTTTGACATATATGGTGGCTCAGTGGTCAGGAACTCATCACCTATGATATGACATGTTGGTGACTGGTGTTGGTGTTGGCAATGTAGAGCTGCAGCTAACGATTATTTTCAAAATCGATTAGTTAGCCGATTATTAAGTTCGATTAATCGGTTAATCGGATAAAAAAATTAAATAACATAAATTTTTTTTAAATGGCTCCAGTGATGGGACTTCTAGTTTGTATTGAGATTGTAGTCCATCACAGGAGCAAGCTTGGAGCAGTGGAAGTAAAAAAGAAAAAAGTGTGGGTAACAATATAGTGAAATAAAAAAAATTATACAGCAATGAATGCAGAATGGCACTGGCTAAAGAGAACTCCAAAACCCAGCAATAGTACATAACACAGCACAATACCACCAGCTATAGAGGAGTACAACAAATCCCAGCAACAGTACATTATAGCCGGCAGTATTCTGCATTGCGCTGTATAATGTACTATTGCTGGGTTTTGTAGTCCTCTATAGCTGATGGTATTCGGCATTGCACCACTTTATAATGTATTATTGCTGGGATTTGTTGTACTCCTCTATAGCTGGTGGTATTCTGCATTGCGCTGTATAATGTATTATTCCTTGATTTGTAGTCCTCTATACAACGCAATACAGAATACCACCAGCTATAGAGGAGAACAGCAAATCCCAGGAATACATTATACATACAGTGTATAATGTATTCCTGGGATTTGTATTCCTATGTATAATATACAGCACAATGTACCATCAGCTATAGAGGAATACAAATACCAGCAATACATTATACCATTATTACCATGTGGGGGAAAGTGCAGGCTTACCTGAGCCGTCTTTCAGCAACTTGTTTCTGAGATCAGGCCTGTCTATCGGTGGCTGTCATCCGCCCACACCTGCTCCTCCTTACTTCTTCTATCCGCGGCCCTGTGCCGATCGTGGATTTGGGCGGGCAGTGAGCGTGATGCAGGGAGGAGGTGCGGAGCGCAGATGCGGGCGGGCCTGGCAGCGGCAAACGTGAGGTGGGGAGGAGGTGTGTGGAGCCGTGAACAGGGCCAACCAATCAGAAGCC